CAGCATTAATTTACTTCGACTCGCACTGTCGGCCGTCCTTCGTTTCGTTGTCGCGTAGCCGCCCAGTTTCTACGGCCTTGTATTCCCTGAGGGGCTCGTCGACAAACCGATTGAGATCGTCGCTTGAATTGGACTCTTGGTCACGCAGATAAGAGGAAGGGGATGAGGGGTGATGCATACGGACAAACGCGAGGCTTCAGCACTTGCCATGACAACACGTGCACGTGACTTGTGTGACAATCACTCTTTCAAAATGGGCGGCTGAGACTGGTCGAAGAATTCGACGCGTTTGCTAAAGTGGGAGATGAAAACAAAAATGTCGGAGGGAACGAAAACCGTAAAATATTCAAAATATCTGCGACGTGTGCTAAATCCTACAACTTCCGATAATAAAATACACAAAACGATACCAGGTTTTAGGTATCGTTAGCGTTTCCCGCTGTTCGTTTGGCTGTGAGTGGTTTTTATAGGGAACTTCCCTAAGCGAAGGGCATCGAAGTAGTTGTTTTGAGAAACAGCTCTACCCTGTATTTCAAAACTAGTCATTTTGTTGCAAAGCAGCTCCTTCAGTGCTTATGTGTTTCACTTTCATGCTTTTGCCCAAATAGCTATTTATGCTCTGAACCAGCTATTATTCTGGCAGAAATTGATGGGTCTAGCTCATCTTGATAAATTTATCGCGTCCACGCAAAAAACCATATCTGAACAAATATAGCACTGATAAGACAATGAAACACCTCAGTAGAAAGATGAGGTTACGTAGGTTCTATTGCATTAGATAATATAGCAACGTAGACACCAACTCAGTTTGCAACAGAAACCCCTAGTGTGCAACGTCTATGAGAGGAACAAAAGGCTGGCCGAAGGGGGACACGACTCGCGCCATCATACTGAGGAGACGACAGGCTTCGGAATGAACACGGTAATGCGGGTTCTGCGAGACCGCAACCTGAATTCAGACACAGATTTCACCGAGGTACAACTGCTATTTTTGTCCTGGTATGGTTAACCGATCTCACTGTTTTAGCATACCAATACCGTATAACGTTAGCTTTTCGCTAATAGACAACTCCTTGAACAAGAGGACGGAATAAGCTATACAACGAGAGTGATATCAATGCAATAGTTCGAGAATATGTTACAGCACAAAATAAAGCAGTCAATCCAATCACATCTCAGCTTATCTATAACTATGTTGAAGACACTTTTGGAAAACGGTTCATTGCTCGCAGCATGCGAGTTTGGCTAAACGACATCGGTTTCAGACACTACGTGGCCAGAGCAGATGCTATTTAGCCGAGAAGACAGGAAATGTGGCTTTTAGAGCTACTTACCTGCAAAACCGTTTATCCAACCGCGACAACCGCAATTATACGACCTGGGGTCTTTCTCGATGGAAGGTATTGCAACGTAAATCACGTTGCAGGCAAAACATGGCTTAGTGAAGATAAAGTCAGACTTTCAAAAAGTGGTCGTGGGGCAAGGTACTTTAAACATTATTTACTGTGTATCAAATTAAGCTATCAAATTGTATTTTAGAATTTGTATTGTGGCAGTTGGTGTTATCACTAGGAGAAGCAATATTATTCAAGGGGAGTTTGTCCCTGGGTTGGAGTTCGGCTAAAAACCCATGCTGGGGTCGATGACGACTACCACGGCAATTTTGATGCCGTTATCTTTGGAATGTGGTTTACTAAGTTGTGTATTACATTGAAACAGTACGGAGAGTGTATTATACATATGATACGGTGCAAGTTACCACAAACGCCAAGAGGATCCAGCTCCAACAAGAAGCACTCTCAAGGCAGATATTCAAACATGGCACTTTAGACATGGTAAGTTATAACTCATTATTATAAACATTATTTTACTTTATATGAACTTATTTATTGTGCTTGTTAGGAATTGATTTTGAGCTAAGTTGGTTCATTCCACAGCTTCTTCAACTAGTCAAGGCACATAAGGACAAACCACGTTATATTGTCCAGCCAATAGCAAACGAGCATGGCCATTTACCGTTGTACACGCCTCCGTACCATCCTGAGTTGCAGCCCATTGAAATGGTATGGGGGCGTGTAAAAGCCAAAATTGCACGACGGCCTCCTGACAATTTGACAGATCTCACGTCAAAGTTGACAGTTGAATTTGAAAGGATCAAGTCGAAGAACTGGTGCAAGTTTTACAAATGTGTTCTTCGCTTTGAAAGGAAATACACGACAGTATTGGAGGAGTGTGAGTTGGTCGATGAATTCTGTACAGTTGATGAAGGAGATGATGAGTGATACAGTAATATCTTTTAAATTTTATATGAAACTTTTTCAGAATATCCAGCCCTTTGAATGGTATTTCGTATGTTATGCACTGTCCACATCGTTTGACCAATAAACGTTCGCATTAAAAGCAACTATTTCCCCGATGTAAAGTATAGTGGGCCTAGGGCTCACTAATTAGCTTACACGTGTGCGCACGTGTAGGAGGAAGCGTAGGTATTCCTAGGTTGTATAGTGTACACACGATGCGTGTGTACAGTAAGACAAGATAGGAACAAGATAGCGTAAAATGAGAACTGTTATTGTTTGTTTTAAGTGTTTCTTCCTCAACTGATTATCTAATATCTAAGGGACTGTCAGCGAGTGGCTGACAGAGATCCGCATCGCTGATTGGTAGAGGTGTGGCGCACTCTACCAATAGGATCCTTTCAAATGCAGCCTTGGCGTGTCCACGCACCAAGACAGGAAACCTCTAACTCTAACCGGTTAATGTTACGGTTAGAGGTTTGTGTAACCCCGTTACACCACACCCGTTAAGATTTGACGTGCCGGCCACAACACGTCAATCCAAGCTTTGATGAGTCCGTCAAACCTCCGAGAGAATTCTGCGCTCATTTCGAAATGAGCGCCCCACTGCGAACACCGGTGTCGACGCCTGTGGTTGACTCCGCGTCTGCACCGACCTCCGTGTCGGTGCTCCGCGTCTGTACCGACCTCCGCGTCGGTGCTTGCTTCCGCACACGTGTCGGCGGTAACGCCGACACCTCTGAGTGAGACGACAGAGAAGAACTTCTCTGTCGACAAGTACTTCGAGCTTCAAGAGAAGAAGCTCGAGCTCAAGGCGAATGCAGCGCGCTGGAGCTGCGAAGCCAGACAGTACTTGGACTGTCTTCGATGGTTCGTCGGTGCTCTCAACCGATGGTGGTATCCCCGTGGACTACGAGGATGGAGAGCTTGAAGACGAGGGCACCTCGTCTTCCATGTCACATGGGTCCAAACCCGCGGCTGGGACTCGCCGTCCCCGTGAAGACGATTCGGACGCTTCTTCGTCGAAGCGTCCGCGAAGTGCTAGTGATGCAGTGCCTTCCAGACTGGAAGCACTTGCCATCACCTCGGAGCAGCGGGATGCCACGCGCACTGACGACACAGTGCGCGAACCTTGGATGCCTTCCAAGAAGGCCATCGACGACCGGTACGGGGCTACGGTACCTCCGAATGAGATACCGTTATATGTCGACAATCGACTTGTCGACGACGCTGAAGCTGCCGCGAAGCACTTCGAGCCGACGACGAACCAGAGGCGAGACTACTACATCTCGCTCTTTCACGAGCTCCGGTACTGGATCTCGAAGAAGACATCGGGGCGAAGCAGAGTGCCGGAGTTGCAGGCACTCTGTCAAAGCTGGAACGAGTTTGTTGAATACTTCAACAAAGATCCGGCAGGGTATCGCGAGCGGATTGCTTCCGCTCGTGAGCGCTTCATGAAGTATTCCATTACTTCTGTCGTCCAGCGCGTTCACGAAGGTTCAGTGAACGCAAATATTCCTTGTGCAGTGCGGGAGGGCGTTCATTGCCCGCCCCGCACTGCCCACTGGCCCCCCCCTCGCATCAGTGAGAGAGACCTCACTGGGTACACGACTAATCGTGTACCTGAAAATGTTAAGGAGCTACGTGCTAAGCTCGCTTGCACGCGTCAGCATCCTAGTGTTGTGCATGAGCACAGCACCCCGCGAAACACTGCACCCCGTAGAGTTACGCCTCCAATCCGTGGTGGGCTTCGTACGCCTTCACCATTTCCGGAACGTCCGTCATCAGAACGTTTCGGGGAAACCACGTATCTCGAAGGAGAGCCGATTGTCTCCAACGAATACGAAAACGAACCGGACCTCGGTTCGTCTTCGGACTGGTATGGTCAACAATCCGATCCACCTCGCGGTGGATCGTACCGCGGACAGAGTTGTGCTTCTGTCGGCGGTGCTGGACGCTCATCGTATGGTCAACCCCCAGTTGACCACGGTCTTCAGGCGCTCCACGCCCGCGTGGAGGCTCTTGAGACTGTTCAGGCTGCTCAGCTCGCTGAACTGAGACAGGAACTGTTCTTGCAGAAGGCCTACGTGGCCGAAGCCGCTCAGACCACCTCAAACATCCGTGTTGAGGTGTCGGAACAGGTTCGCCTTCTTCAGGAGAAGGTGAAGCGGCTTGAGGAGATGCTGAGGACGTGTCGCGCGTCGTCGTCGGCGAGTCATCACGACTAGATGACTCGGTCTGCACGTATGGCTTCAAGCGCCCAACGTTGGGTGGAGTCTCATGTCGGAAGGTAGTTTCAACGCGTATGCACTGCCGTGTCGTTCAGCCATCGTCAACGGGCCGATGAAGAGCGGAGCAAGCAAGCTTGCTCCGAATCCAGAAACTGCATGAGTAGGCAAGGTTTGCGTAGATAACAAAACCAATGAACCAATTTTGAATTCATTTGTATTAACCCTGCCAACATGTCTGCGTTCAGCTTCTGCCTATCCGCAGAAGCTGCAATTGCATCTTGTACAAAGCGAACGACTGCTTGTCGTTCGTGGACAAAGTCCATTGCTTGAGAGCTGAACCCCGGGTCCAGCTCATTGGTCTTGTCCGCGTCTGTGCCCTGCAAAGCCTCGCCACTTGTAGTCGCACCAGTCCCAGACTGTGCGTGGCTCTTTGGGGTGTCAGTGCCCGGCACTGACACTTCGTGTGTGATCGCTACAGGCCCAGCCTGTGCGTGAGTCTTCTCGGTGTCTGTGCCCCCTCCGTCTGCGGAGGATCCGCAGTCGACATTGAGAACTGCGTTCCAAGAAGTGTGAACACTTCTTGCCAGAAACGCGCCGTGAAGCGCGGATCGCGGTCCGACATTAAGTCATTGGGCATGCCATGGTGCTTGAACACCATGTCGACGAACAAACGTGCCGTCTGTACGGAGGTCACCTCCGCTGCGACAGCAGCGAGATGCACCATCTTGCTGAAGCGGTCCACAAAGACCACAATACCAGTCTTCCGCCTGGAATCGCGCGGAAGACCAAACACGAAGTCCATCGAAACGGACTCCCAACACTCCGACGGAGTCGGCAAGTCTTCGAGTGAGGTGCAGGCTTCACTCGCTGGCAAACATCGCAAGCACGTACCCACTTGTACTGGTGTTTCCAGTAGAAGTCTCTTGTGAGAAGAGAATACGTCTTCTCACATCCCGGATATCCTGCCGTGGGGACATCGTGATACTCGTACATGATCCTGCTGCGTAGGTCAGGATCATTCGGCACGACAATGCGTTCCGCATTGTCGTCTACAGCGCTGTAAATCAGTAGACCGTCGTGCACACGATACCGGTGTGCACTCGCTCGTAGACGAGGGGCCATCTTCCGACGTGCTTTGTCGGAAGGAGCTGAGAGGAACTCGATCAGCTGCTTCGCGTCTGCGTCATGCGTACACGCGGCCTTCACCTCGTCCAACGAAGACGACGACGGTGTATATGTCCGAGCGACGTCAATCCGGTGGACGTCGATTGTCCTGACAGCATAATCCGGTCGTCGCGACAACGCGTCCGCGACGACGTTCAACCTTCCGGATTTGTACTCGACCCGGAAGTTGTATTCCGCGAAGAAGGACAAACATCTCGCCATTCGTTGCGAGATGTGCGGAGACTTCACAGCCGTCCGCAACGACGCGTGGTCTGTATAGACCACGAACGGCGTGTTGCCGAGTAAGTACACTCGGAACTTCGCAAGTGCATACTTCATGGCAAGGAGTTCCTTGTCATGTACCGAGTAGTTTCGCTCAGCTGGCTTTAGCTGACGCGACTGGTAGTAGACGTCTCGATCACGGCCCTCGTGATTGAGCTGCATTAACGCACATCCGATCGCGAAATCGGATGCGTCACACACTACGTAAAAGGGACGGTCTTGGTCAGCCACAGCCAAGATCGGCACTTCAGTCAAGCCCAGCTTGACTGCATCGAACGCATGCTGACACTCAGCAGTCCAGTTCCACGCAGCTTCCTTCTTCAGAAGCTGCGACAGCGGGCGAATCTTGCCTGCGTAGTTGTCCACGTACTTGCACAAGTACGTGGCAAGGCCAAGAAACTGCCGCAGTTCCTTCACGTTGGACGGCGTAGACCATTCATTGATCACTCTGACCTTCTCGGGGTCAGGGCGTACGCCATTCTTCCCAACGAGACACCCTAGCACGGGTATCTCGCTCGCACCGAAGATGCACTTCTTCAGGATAGAGCTTGTGCTTGCGCATGAGCCCAAGCAGTTTGTGCATCTAGACGTCCGTCTTCTCGTTCACAGCCCGACTGTGAACGTACATATCGTCGAAGTAGATCGGTGCGAAGTCGCGCACCGAGCGCAATAGATGAGTGACGCATCTATTGAAGGTCGCAGGGGCGTTCTTCAGTCCTTGTGGCATTACGAGCCACTCCCAAAGCATACCGCTTGGGGTGCTTACCGCCGTGAGAGGAATATCGCTCTCACGCATCAGGATCTGATAGAACCCGTCTCTCAGATCAAGAGCACTGTAGATGGTGCTCTTGGACATCGAATCGATGATGACATCTTTTCGAGGTATCGGCGTCTGCGCCGGTATCGTCGCATTGTTCAGCTTGTTGTACGCATGAACAATGCGCCAACCACCCTGTGGCTTCTTGACACAGAACGTTGGTGCGCTGTGCGGGGACTTTGACTCCCGCACTTGTCCTGCATTGCAACGACTTTCGAAGAAGTCGTCGATTGCCTTCACTTGCTCCCGCGGCAGTGGCCACTGCCGCGTCACGCAATACTTCGATCCCGGCACCAGGTCAATCTCGTGCTGTATTCCCTTGTATCGCGGAAGCCCCGCAAGGATCTCGTCCGGGAGCACGTCCCTGTGCTCTCGCAGAATCTCGTAATAGGGACTCGACTTCAGTGAGTCCCAACTCTGCTCCTCGAAGCGCTCCTTCTTGGTCTTGGCACACTCTCAGTGGCGCTTCCAGCGAAGAGTTGCCTCAACTCTTCTGCTTCGCTTGTCATTCTTTCGCGGTCCGAAAGAATGCACAGCTGTTCGATGCGTCCATGGTACAGGTCCTTTGCGAAGCGATTCCAGCTCATGACGGGAAGCGAAGTCAACTCCGACAAATCAGTCGGAGGGTTCTCCAACTCCATCTTCTCGTACTTATACCCAGTACCGGCCCGCGTCAAGACGTTCCACGTCTCGACGGCCACTGTTGGCACTTGTGTCTGCCCGGCAGACACACCATGAAGGGTCGCAATCCCTGACCGAGACTTGCGCAGCGTCTTGTGCTTGCGCCGTCGTTTCTTCTTGTGAGTCCCTGATTCACTTGCGTTTCGTCCAGGCCCGGCCATGGACGAACGTTCCTTGATACCGCCGGCAGACAATCTAGTCTGCGGGCGACCGCCGCCGGGTTCTTGTACCCGCGGGCGCGCGTCATCACGCCCTGCTTCGTCCAGCCCGGCTGCACGATAGCACGCAAGCTTTAGTGCTGGACGTTTGCAACCGTCCGCACAACTTGTCGCATCGACTCCCGGAGTCGATGCTTTGTCGTCCCCTCTACGCCTTACGGCGGAGCAGTGTGTCGCAAACTCTCAGAGCTGACACACCGTTGTCACCTCGACGTCTTACGGCGGAGAACATTCTAGAAGTGTCTGGTCCATGACCAGAAACTCTTTTACTGTCAACGACTCCCGGAGTCGTTACAGCTCGCGCGCTCCTCGCGCTGCGACCGGAGACGGCGGCGCGAGCCACTGTCTCTAAAGGAATTCGGATGCACCGTTAGGTGTATCCGCTGCACTAACAGAGCCATCGC